GAGTCAACACCACATTCATAATGGACAGCCCCGTTCTTTCAGTTCAATTTGCATGTTTTCTAGGTCAAAACAAGGCTTTGTTTTTGGTCCACTCTATAAAGCTTTGAACTCAATGTTAATTCTGACATTTTGAATTTAAAAGGCTTCCTGGATGGGAAGCGAAACATCTTTAAGCTTGGGGAAAAAAAGTCACATTTTCCACTATCATAAAACCCAAGCTTTTAAGAATGTTTTTTCAACTCAGATTTACTTTTGTAAACAAAAAATTATAAAGCTTATTTAAGATGAGTCATTTTACATCCACTTTAATTTTTCTTTATTAGATTCAACCTGTGCTGAACAAAATGATCAGCAAAACTGATAAATTATCTGTCACTGACATGAAAGACCTTGAAAATCAAAGAGTTAACCAAAAGCAACAGGATCACTATGGTGCTTGGTTTTGGCTGGTGCCATTTTTTCATTAGGGTTCTAAAGTTAGAAAAGAAACACAAAATTACACAGATGATTAGAGTTTTATTTTTGTGGTGCTATAAATGAAATGATTATGCTTAGGATGTAGCTAAATAGAAATAAAAATCCCAAATGTTAATTAACTCCTTCTTCATTACCAGTCCATTCACATCTTGTGAAATAATCAATCTACAACATACATTACAGTCTGCATTTACAGATGGCTTTCTCTCATCAACAAGATTGAAACCTATTTATATCTATGCCAGAGTTGGTCGTCATGGTTTGGTCAAATGATGAACCTAACATCACCGGTGATGCTCTGACAGCTCAGATTACGCCCACCCCAGCTGGCACAAAATCCTACAGGATTCCTCCCACACCTGTGTAAAGGGTAAATAGGTTGTGATTGTCACAGGGCAACTCTTTTCTCTAAGTATATGATTAATCTTTGTCTCATTGTTAGGTCTTTTTAAAATCAAGACCCATCTTTTAAAAGCTGTACGCAGCGGCTGGTGGCATTAAAACACAGAGAACTCTCTGACCAAACTCTGACTACCTCATGCATCTCAGAGCCTCCTCTATTATCTGAAATTTCACAGCCTTTGCACTTGACATTTGCCTCCTCTGCATTTAAAAAACCCCACAATATCCTCTGCATGGATTCAGACTGTTGACTTTTTTGTTAGCACCTGGTATATTGCAAAATAACAAAAGCATATATATTCTCACACATTTATGCCAAATCTTCAACTTACGGCTGTTTAATCTTTTATCTTTAGGAGTGTTAGAGCACAAAGCTATTTGGACCATCACAGCTCCAGATGCAAAAAAAGCCTTGGTGTAGCATTCTTACAGAAAGCTAGAGTTTATTTATTAAAAAGCTTTTTACTACCTAATTCCTTAAAAAAGCAATAATGATAAAAAAGAACAGATGTGATAACATTTTATTTTCAAAACTGAAAATATATATGGCTATATACAGTATGGTGCATTTTTTACATTTCATCTAAACAGCGTTGATATATTAAAGATGAGGTAATAATGGCTGCAAGCCTTTAGAAATGCACACTGCCATCACAATGAAATTAAGCATCCCAACATTTTATCTACAAGACAGATCTGCCTTACAGGCAATATATATTAGAATAGTGTTCATATAAACAAATGTTTTAGATAAAGAAGGATAAGATTGGAGAACTCAAACACCATAAAAAAGTTAATTAAAATCTGACAGTTTACATTATTCCTAATGTTGTAGGCAGAAAAACAATATTGTTTATGTATGAATATTTATTCTGCTCCATTTACATGTTATGACTCTAAATAAATATTGGCACCTAAGATAAATGTGTTATTACTGGACATACTAAGGACTAGAAAACTGAGCCAGAGATGGTTTTGAGCATTGAAAAGATTTATTAAACTTTAATACTTTAGATAACAGCATGCCATCAGCTACAGGAACAGAAACCACTTCTCAGGACTCTGGTGAAAAAACGTGAATCCTTTGTTTTAGTTCCTCAGAGTGCTCACAGTAGGCGAGACAGGCTTGCTCTCTTCACAGCAAAAGTCACTGACAGAATGTGCAAACAGATCCAAAAATCTGGCTTAAATCGATAGTCAGAGAATGGACGTGTGCTCAGAACCTTCGAGGCAGATTTAGGCAAACTGATCCTAAGGGCTGAGACTAGAGGCAATAAGTAGTCAGTGATCAGAAACAGGGCCATCATCCAGAACATCAGAAACCTGATGAGGGAATCCATTAAGTGCAAGGTAAAATCCAGGAACAAAAGAAGACGTGATCAGGCATGACTACTATTAAACCTTCATGATGCCATTCCTTTCCTATATTTCTTATTTTTTGTTTTAATCTCATTCTTTCATCATTGTATTTCCTAATGCAATAATGTAATAACATATCCTCTGCAATTTGTTATTTTTAGCTAGATTTTTGTTTTTTACACATTCAACTGTTTTAATTTCTTTACATAATATATAAAAAAATGTTTTGTTAAACCCAGTATGATCAAATCTTGATCAAGTCATGCTACTTTTGTCTCTTCTATTCTCTTAGCATTCATTGATTTTTGTATACTGTAACATTTACTTTCAGTTTTATTTATTCTGTCTTCTTCAATTACCTCCTCTTTTTTTTTTTTTCCAACTAGCATTTGCTGAGTTTGAATTCAGCGTCTGCGTCCTTCGAAGGCCAGATTCATCTGCTGATTACGTCATAGCGCAGCACCGTGGCCTGTTCGGATTGGAAGACTCCTCGTTATGCGGCCAACATATGCAGGCTTCTTTTTGCCGTTTTTGAAGGACAGGTCCGGTGTATCCTACATAGCCTTGGATATCTCGTTAATTATTGCGAGTCCAAGCAAGCCGGCTGCTCCATGCTCAGAGGACAAAGAGAAATAACACTGAACAGTGCAGTTTATTATATTACAGTACAAGTATGTGATCAGTTCCATCTGAAATAAATGAAAATCATTTTTTAAATGGTTATTGAGCCAGATATGTGGCAGGTAATGTTTGGTTTATCGAAAGGTTTATCTGTCCCTGTGTAAATGGATTTGGCTGAAATTTAAGCTCAGATTCCAATATCTGTGCAGTGTGCGGACTATAGATCTGATATTCTTGATGACATCACTGCTACTGAAACTCCCTAAAAATGTAATTATCACCCAGAGCAGTGGTGAGAAGTTCAGTATCCATTCTTTGTCAGATTTTTGTGTCAGCTGTAAGGGTTGCTAGGCAACAGAGCGTATGGGCGGTGAAAGCCTGAGAAAGCTGTACCTGTTTAAAACCACAACCAAATCTCTTCCGTCCTCCTTATTTTCATGGACCTCGAATGACCCACTTCAGGTAGACCGGGTCCTTGGAGGATGCAGCAGCTGAAATCGAAGACGGGCGCTAACTGGGTAATCCATGGAGACTTATAAGGCCAGAAGACAAGGTGAGCTGACTTATGTTGATTGTCAGTTGATGTAGTTGGCACAGGTTGAAAGAATGAGCA